TATGAATCTTATCCATTTTTTAAACAAATTGCTTATGTTTATTTATTTATTTTAAAGAAAAAAATGGTCTTGAAAACTAATTAGCTAAATATGAAAAAATAGACAATATTTTATTTGTAGATTGCTAGAAATAAAGCAATAAAATTTGTATTTTAATGTTCAATTTACATTTAGATAATTTTTATTTCCCCCCCAACATAGCACGAAAATAGAAAACTGGAAATGCCCTCTATCCGTCTGTCCGTCTGTCCATCTGTCCGTCTGTCTATCTGTCCATCTGTCCAGCCGTAAATGTGAGCACGATACCCTGAAAAATAAGTAAACTACCGACTTCCATTTGTATCATAATATATGTTTTTAGTATATTTTTATTTTGATGGAAGGGGTTTTGTTTATTGTGTTCACTTCTACCCATCTGTAATTCCTGTGTTTGGTTCTGTTTCTGCTTCTGCCCTGCCCACTCACACACGATCCTTGTCTCTCTGCACAGGTGTTTGTATTTTGTGGTTTGTTAGTCTTGTCTTTGTATTCCCCATGATTAGATTTTTGTTTAGGTTCTGCACTGAGCGCTGTCTGTCCAAGTTGATTTGTCTAATCCCCACAAGTTCTGTCTGTTGTTTTTGTTGACACGCCAGCACATTTATTTTTGTAAATAAATCAGTTTAGTCATTTTGAAGACTCTTGTCCAGCCTGATCTGTCTGCACCCCGGGTTTTGAACAACCTCAAACCATGACAGTTTTTGTGTGTGGCTGTATCTGTGCGTAAGAAATGTTCCTTGTGAAAATTGGGCTGCCAGACCCAAATCCAAGATGGGCTCCACCGTATATATGTAAACGTTGTGAGCTGGATAACTAAAAAAAAAAGCAACAGATCAACTTCCTTTTTTTGTTTGTAGGCATTAGAAAGGTTTCTTTTGTTGGTACTGGGTTGGGAAAACTGGTACATATGTATGGACTATATACCATATCATTTTATTTATAGAGCACTTAAAACAGCGACAAGGCCAACCAAAGTGCTATGATGACAAAGTGAAATGATGACAATAAACTATCCTTTCTACAATTTATATTGCTTAAAAGTAAAGTTTCCTCAAATGATTGGGGTGGCGAGTGAGGTGGGTGAATATTAATCTATGGTGGTTAAGACCACCATCGGCCACCCTCTGGATCCGCCATTGTACCTGGTGGATAAAATTACTTTTGTTGGCCAGGACCTGTCACTCTTTGACAGGAAAAAAACATCTATTGTTCTTATACACAATGTAACACCTATACTTTTTTGAATATGTTGCACCAAAAACATTCCCTGTTCACTTCCAATCCAGAAAAACACTTATTTTTTAAAAACAACAAACGTTTACTATTCTAATCCTTCAGAGACGGGGAACATTGGCGTACCACTTAATACTATTGTTATTTCTGACTCTGCCACATTTTTGCAACTTGCCTCTAAAGGTGTAACAGAAATCTTCCATTTGATTTTAAATTGGTCACTTTCTCCTCACTTGTTTTAACGATCTTCCAAACATTTATTTTCTCTGCTCTGCTCATACAATGTTTTTCCAGTTTATTCTCATCTTCTTGTTTTCTCATTCTGTTTGTATTTTATCTCGTTTTATATTTGCTTTGTCTTGTCTTCTCTTGGTTCTGTCCATCGTTAAACGGTCTTTCTGTCACATCTCTCCTCTTTCCCTCCACTCTTCTCTGGGGTGATGCGATGCCTCAGTGTGGGTTCTTCAAACGCAGTGAGCGGCGCCCCCACTATGAGACGGAGTACTACCAAGCACATTTGGGGGTCCAACCCTCGGAGGTGGAGAAGCAGGCATCAGATCTATAATATAAAAACTCTACATCTGGCCTGCTCTCCCCTCCTCTCCCTCCAAGCGGTAAAATTCTTCAGCCCTGATTGTTTTGCTCCTCAGCTCACTTGAAGGCGGTGGTGTTCATTCCAGAATAAAATCTAAGCGCAAACGTCACAGCAGTAGTATCTGTAAATGAGGCTTTAGGAGTTGGTGTAGTTGGCAGATTCTGTGCATTTAAAAAAATAAAAATGATCATTTTTCACTTTGAAATTCCCATAGTTTAAGAACAACTTTTTTCCTTTACAGATTTAAAAGAAGTAGGTTCTTTAATAACTGCTAAGATTTGATAAACAAATATGATTTCAGGTTTAGAGTTTAGGCTGCACAGTATAATTCCACTAAAATTTGTAATAAGAGAAAATGTCAATGATTTATTGTTTAATTATAGTTTAGTTTCTGTAACTTTACTTTTACAGTCTAACTTTGGAGAAGTAGTTGAACAAACTTTTCCTTTCTTTACATCCTCTTTATTTGAAAGGGAAATAAAATGTATCTTTTTTTGCATTCAAAATATTTCATAAATTTTTGTAAAGTGTACTGATACAAATCCAGGATCAGTTTTTATCAAACTAAAATACCCCAGTTCTGTATATAAAAAGGTATGGAAATGTAATTTTAGTTAAAAAAAAAATAAATAAATAAAAATAAAATA